AGCCTAAGGATGGGCCAAGGTGTACAAAGTGTAAGGTTAGGTGGAGGTGCATGGGGCCTAAGGTTGTTCCATAGTATACAGGGCCTGAGGATGGGCCAAGGTATACAAAGTGTATGGGGCCTAAGGTTGTTCCATAGTATACAGAGCCTAAGGATGGGCCAAGGTGTACAAAGTGTAAGGTTAGGTGGAGGTGCATGGGGCCTAAGGTTGTTCCATAGTATACAGAGCCTAAGGATGGGCCAAGGTATACAAAGTGTAAGGTTCGGTAGAGGTGTACAGGGCCTAAAGTTGGATCAAGGTGCACAGGCCCCAAGGTTGGGCCACGAATACACATTGAAAGGGGGGGTAAGGGTGAACAGGGCATAAACAGGGGGCGAAGGGTAAAAGGACTAAGGGCTTCTCTCTGCACTTTTACAACTCATGTCATTCAGCAACTTACAAGGAGCTTTCATCGTCCCCTGTGGGAAGTAGGCCAGGACCTTGTTTTCATCCAGTCCATTCATTTGGGGTTTTCATCTCTCCTATGGAGGGGCAACACATCCCACCCCAATTATAACACACAAGCAGATCATCTGATTTGGGGATAAGATCCTTTGTTGGGATACAATTTAAACCTCGAAAAAAATAAATTTCCGCACTATGTCCAGAGAGGTAAGAGAACGGACCTTGGAGTGAGGTGACCTGCTGAGGGCGGTCCAATCCAGGTCTTTATCAGATCACCTCAATGTAAGCAGACTGGCTTCAGGAAATGGGGTGGGATGGGGGGGATGACGTTGGGTGTTATTGGTCTTCGAGCCACTTTGCCAAGATCAAACAATTTATAAAAGATGAACGCACGTTTCGGTCCGTTCACTAAGCTGTGCATGTTATTTCAAAGCAGAGCTGACCTGAGAATATGAACAGGCTCCCACTACCGACCTTCTCCTGAAAATACCTGCTGCCTGGGTGCCAGTGCTTACACTAATGTTAAACTCTCAAAGTTCTTCAGTAATCAATCCAAATCAAACTAATATACATCACCCAGCAAAGTACTTATCTACATTGTTGCCCAAACACAGCCATCGTGTTTCCGAACAGCTCCAACTCTCCCAGCTCAGCTTCTCTGAACTTCCTGTCCAGCGCAAGCTCACCAGGGACAGAGCAGACACCAGCAGCCATCCATATACTATCTTGGAGAAGGAAGGAGTGGGGAGCAGGGAGCGTGTCTTGCATTGCTGTGTCTGTGTGTTGGTGGAGAAACACAGGAGTACAAGCACACACAAGGGTGGCTCCTTAGGAACCTGCAAGAGAAAGGGCCACTGCTCATTGGACAAGATAATTCTGCAGGAGTCTAAAACTTTTAAGCAATAAGGAGCGGCATCCATTGTAAGAGATGTTTAGTAAAAAGCTAATGCGTTTCAGGTCTCCTTTAATCTGGACCAAAGCTTGCTGAACCATACTAGTTCTGGTCCAACGAACCTGGAATAACCCCGAGTGTAACGCACAGTGCCCAGTCCACCAAACAATAGCCACTGCCGCGTTCTGATCGGCATTTCCACCAGTCCCCACACAGTGGGAGGGGGCGTGACGGACCATTGAAGTGAATGACACAGTAGCCACGCCCTCCGGTCGCAATGCGATCGGCCGCACGGGATCGCAAGGCACATTATGTCCCCGCAGTCCGGTCCGGTGTGATCAAAATAGTGATTTTGATCATAGCGTGCCTTGCGATCCCGCGCGGCCAATCGCATTGTGGCTGGATGGCGTGGCTACAGTGCCATTTACTTCAATGGCCCGCCACACCCCCTCCAGCCCCACAAAAAAGTGAGCCGGCGGCGTTCAAGCCAGAATCAGGCCGGAACGCACTGCATCTCGTGTGAATGGGCCCTAAGCCCTGCTTTGCAGAAGCCGGTGTCGCCAAGATCACTTGTAATGAGACTGCAGCCGGTCCGTCCTCCC